CCTGCAGAATTATTTTTACTCCAGTGAACCCCCTTAACATTTTAGGGGTTGTTGCAGATAACTCCCCAGTTGTCTTATTGCACTAAATCTCACCTAATAGTTTCTCATTTAATCCCCAAATTAGCATCATCAACTCTTAACTTGTCGTGTGCCAAGCACGTGAAATGCATCATCGGTAAAATATGAATCTGAAATGTGAAATGGGTTGTGAACATACACTTACGAATCCATTCATTACCTTATCATGACAAAATGCTCAAAAGCAGATGCATTAGGAGCATGTTATCGAAATTTCATTTAAAAACTTGTTAAGATCTAAATTGATAAGGTGATATAAGTACACGTGTACACATTCAATCTAACTGATATACCCCTGAAATTTTGCAGTTGTTGCACCTAAACCCCCCCCCCCCCCCGGCGGCCGGACCCCCTGATTTTTCTCATTCCGCCAATCTCAACCTGAATTTTTCTCATTTAATCCTCAAATTAGCATCATCAAGTCTTTTGTGTCGTGTGGCAAGCCCGTGAAAAAAATAGATGAAATAAGGCCTCAGTCCCAAAAAAGTACCCTTAATAAAAGGGTGTTTTATTGGGACTGAGAAGGAGTTTTCATGTTTTTTTCATCACGTTCTATATGACGAGTTTGAGTTGATTGTGCTAATTTGAGGGATTAAATAAGAAAACTTTAGGTGATATTTAGTGGAATAAAAATGTTTAGGGGGGTTATGTCCTAAAGTTTAGGGGGTTTAATGGAGTGAGAGAAAAAAACTCAGGGGGATTTAGTGTAACACCCCCAAGTTGAGAAGAAACTTGTGTTTTATGTTAATTATGTGCTGCCTTGTGTCTTGTACTTGTCATCTTTGACAGTCTCACACAGATTGTCCCAGCTACAGAAACATCTCACTTGGGCTTTTGTTTTGACTAACTTAGCATTTTCCCCTGTTTTACTGCCAATTTGATTTGCCTCTGAATTTACAGAATACAGAAGATACTGGGGCTAGCCAGGCACAAATAACTCCAGGAAATGATAGCGACTTCATCAGTTCTGGGGTCTCCGAGTCAAAGATGGTAGCATTTCCTGCACTACCGGTTACATTTTATATGCCTGTGATGGGAAACTTATCTGAATCTTCTTCAGGTGGTTCTCAATATTTTTTACTTTCTATTAATTTATGACAAGTCCATAAGAAATATATTTAAGTTCAGTTTCCTTTTTGAGCTCTTTATTTATTATTAGATCAAAGTATTATATTCTTAGAACTACTGATTAATTATCTTGTTAAAGGGATATCCTTGCAAATAGGTTAGAAGGATAGTTTCAAAGACTTTGCTCATCATCGGTAAATGAGAAAAATATTTATATTGCAGTCACCATTACCCTTACTAGTGCTAACATTTTGCAGTTACCCTGACTTCACATTGTATCTAAAAGTTTTATGACGTAAGGGTTATCACCATATGATGGACATGTTAAAATTTAGATCTTTCTTTCTTCCTTGACTATGTGCGAGGTACGTGTAGCATAAAGCACCTTTATTTTGCAAGGTAATTTGAAATGATAGGATTGATCTTGTTGTTACAGTTGGCATGCTTTAAATTACTTTCTGTTTAGATTCTTACTCTGCCAACCGTTTTTTCATAACGGGGAATGTTAGTTTGCTTTCTGGTTCTTCCCTTATGCTTATGGACTGTTTCATCTCTTGAGGAGATTCACGATGTGCCTCTTGCTGGATTGAGTTTAATTAAGTGTACTATGATCTACTAAGCTCATAGGAAATCCCCTCTCAGGAATCCGGCAAGACTCTGGACTTTGGCATTGTGTTGGTGTTCCGGCCAATTAAGTTGGTTGAACCTTCGTTTGTACTGTTCTGTACTTACTAACTGATCTTCTCTGATCCAAGAATTGCATAGACATTGTCATATGCCTATTGTTGTGTGTTTGAGCTTTCATATTGTTGTTTAATATTTGGACCATGACTGTTCTGTAGCAGGCAATGCTGGCAGCAATGCTTATACACTTGTTGCTGCTCCTGTGAACTCATCACCAGTTGCCTCGGGGACACAGTCCCGATTAAATATCCAGCAATCAGTAGCACCATCAAAAGACCAAAATGCTAGGTCATGCACAGGGCCAAACCCGAAAGTTCATGCCACAGCAATCGCTGCTGGTGCTCGAATAGTTCCTCCCCAAGAAGCAGCATCACTGATCAAGGTCATTGAAGCCAAGGTCAGATCTTCTAGATCGTCATTGGGCTCTGGATGTAAGCAATTGGGTGCAAACGTGGCTCCTTGTAAAAGTAAGGAGGAAGGCCCGAGACTGCTTAACCCTGTCCAAGCAAATGTAGAAGCCATTGAAGGAAAAGAGCAGGCAAGCTCAGAGGAGATGAGATTGCAGGAATCTGGTGAAGGGTTTAAGGAGATGGAAGCGGCCACGATGGACCACTCTGCAGTGTATGACAGTGGCGAGGATCATCTTTTTTCGGACGCTGGCAGTTGAAGCTCTGATGTGGAAGATCCAACTGTGTTATGAAGAGAGTTTGAACGTGAGAATTAACGTTATGGGGCCGTAGATAGTTTTTTTTTTAAACTTATTTTTTACCTGTATTTAGGTCTAATTTGCTGGTCATGTATAAAAGGGTTTTTGTAAATAATTCAGTGTCCTTCAAGAAGAGAGTTAGCGGCAGAATTGCATATTTTATACTTATACGTGACTCAATCGCGTGAGAAATATCACTGTTACAGAGGGAAAAGTTTAGTTTACTGTAAGGGGGTGTTTGTTTTGTTTTTTTTTGGGATATAGGGTGGATTTCAAGTTTTGGGATGTAAAAAGTGCTCTTTTTGAGTTTTGTGATTCCATAAACTTTGTTTGTTTCAAAATTAATTTTGGGATATTGAATCCCTAAATTATAAACAAAGAATATATTTTTAGGATTTGTGAAATCCTCTCTTTTGTTTTGTCCTTTTTTTGGGATATAAGGTGGATTACAAGTTTTTTGGGTTTTAGAATTCCATAAACCATGTTTGTTTCACAACCAATTTTGGGATATTGAATCCCCAAATAATAAAAAACTATTATATTTTAGAATTTGTGAAATTCTACAATTGAGAGAGGATGTAGGTTGGATATTGATGTATTAATGCTAATAATATAAGATTAATATATTATATATAATATAATATTTAATATAATACATCTATTCCTCTATAATAATAGGAGGACCCAAGAATCACTGTTCATGCTATAGTAAATGCTGCAGTAAATTACTGTAGCATTATATATATATAATATATTATATTATATAATAAATAATATATATATATATATATAATATATTTATATATATTACATATATATAATATATATTATTATAATAATATGTAATATATATTATATATATAATATATGATATATATAATATATATATTTATAAAATATAATATATATAAATATTATATTATATTATATATTATATATAATAATAAATAATATATATATATATATAAATATATATATATATCTATATATATATAAATATATATATAATATATATATATATAATATATATATATATATATATATATATATATATATATTATATATATATATATATAATATATATATATATAATATAATATCTAATATATAATTATACATAATATATAATATATATCATATATATTATGTATATATATAATATATTAATATTATATCATTTATATGTATAATATAATATATATATAATATACAATATGTATAATATAATATATATATATATAATAATTATATATAGAGTGCATTTCACATGCGAATTGATGCGTACGCATTTGTGAACGAGAAGGGGTTTTTTGCAAAACTCCTCCGCTACTTTATCTAAAGTCCTGATCCCGTTCTCTCTTTCTCACTTCACGTAAAAATCCCCAAATCCATCTCTCTCTCTCCCAAAAATCAGCCTCACCCTCCTCCTAACTCCGCCAATGACAACAAACTACAACAAAAGAGCAATAATAGACGAAGGATGTATAAAATGAAAAGGAGGGTTCATAAAAAATTAAACGAGATGAAGGAATCCAATATTCTCAAACAACTTTCAGGAATCATAGTTCACAAATATTTGTTGTAGATGCACACTGTACCAAAGAGGAATCTATTCTTTTCTTCACCAAGTCAGTTTGCAAAAAATCAAAAGAGTATTCCAAACTCACAAAATAGCAACAATAAACAGACATCATGAACATCACAAACTCACAAAATAGCAACTATGACAGAAAGATATGAACACTTCACTGCGTCTTGAACCAAAAAAGTATGACAAAAATATGTTGTTATAGAGGAAAAACTTTGCATTCCGATAGAATTAGAAAGAAAAAGCCCTGACTTAGGACTTCCCGATATTTAGGTACTTGATCTATGAAAACATCATACATTGTCATGTAACTCATGTCTCTATGAGGTGTGAATCTCGCAAGTGAAAATGAACCATGCCATGCCTCCCCACTTTCATCACAAAGATATGTAACCCATGCTCAAAAGGGAGGCCATCAAGTACTGTAGTGGTGAATCACATATCAGGCACAAAAGAGCAACAAACCACTCTAAGGACCAATCAAGATATATAATAGTAGTTAATCATAAAAATTCAATTCTATCTTTTTAACTCTTTTTTCCTAAATGTAAATGAACAAACCACTCTTTGTTATTCCTCTTTCTCTATGAACATCCAACAGTCGAATACTAATGAATACCTTCCTGTACCAGGCAAAAGAAGGTCGACTTCTTCATTGCCAGCTGCTGATGCTCGTAACATGCTTCCTCTAATATGTGAACCCGGAACTGTACTCGCTGAACCTGGTTCATGCGTTACTAATAGCAGGAAGATGAGATCACAATTCTGCCAGGCCTGGTTCATGCGTTACTAATAGCAGGAAGATGAGATCACAATGATTTATATTTTTGTTTGCTCCATAACTCCTATCAATAATTAACTAATTGATGTACATTCTCTGTAGTTGGTGTCTAATATATGAAATGTTAATATGTGTGTCTAATATATGAAAAATTCATGGAGAGGAATACTAATATAAATGTTAATATCTTAGCGTACATAGTCTAGAAATAGTTTAGAAATAGCATATATAACTATCATAATATATTACTAACTATTGCAATATACTTATCATAATGTTTGGATACAAGGTAATTCTGGACATGTATAATTCCAATTGTTATGGGAAACTATTACATTTGCTCTTAACACTGGATGTGGAAAGGTAATTTTCAAGGAAGATGTGAATGTGGTAATTAGAGATATCCAAAATTGTGCGGAGCAACACTCAAATTTCAGACACTTTATAAATGATATTCAGCGATGTTGCACATGACTCAATGAATGAGATTTTCAGATAGTTCATTAAACGAGGAATGTAACGGCTCACGTGTTAGTTTGAAGAGCTAAGAAAATTGATGATTTTGTAGTATGGCTCGAAGACCCACTATCATTTTTATACAATATTCTGCAGTCTGATAAGGAGCAGCGTTTGTCCACATTCTTTTGTTGTGGTTTTAGGTTTTCAGTTTAGTTTGGATGTGTCTTAATATATTTTTTCCAATAAAAAACTATTGCAATATAATAATTAGATCCTACTAACAAATTAATTTATGACATCTGCCCTTCCGAACTTACTAATAATGCATTTAATATGAATAGTAGTGAGAAATGAACCCATAATTAAAGCATTCATGTATCTTCTCTGATTGACTAATCAAATTATATTAATTAATTATGCACTAATTATTTCACGACTAATCTACTTCCTTCCATTATGACCTCAAGAGTTGCATAAAATTATATTATATATGGATGCTCAAATGCACAAAAGAAAACACTAAAAGAATAAAAAGACAAAAAATGGAGGAAGTGAGAATTTTAACAGTGGAGTCAGTCTCTCGATTATATTAACCGGAATGCATCGCATTTAACAAGATTTCATATGTGACAATTGAGAAAGAAGATTATATTGTTTTTCTTTCGAGGAAACAAACAAATCTATGACCGAGTTTACCTCTCATTTATGAAAAAACCATCAATCTATTAGTCATACAAGTATACAAATTCATGGAGAAAAAAACTCATATAAATGTTAATAAATTTCCCTTCGAACGTTTAGCCTCATATCATTACTTAAAATGCATTAAGTGCAAAGCACGTGTTACACACTAGTAGATTGCAATAAGTGTTTGAGGGCTTCATAGAAAAGTTGGGTAAAGCTTGGGGGCTTAATAAATGAAAATAGAAGTTTAAGGGCTTTCTAGAAAAGTTGTGTAAAGTTTACGGGCTTCCTGGACTTTGAACTCGAAATAGCAAGTTTTCCTTTTCTTTTGTTTGATTACATATGAAAAATTTATAGAAAAGTTTTGTTACTTTTATTCATCACTTTACAACGGCTGGTTTAACGGCTATTTTGGCATCCTCAACTTGCCAATTTAAAAATATTTGTAAGAATGTTAGAGCCATTAGTGAATCTTCAAGTGCACCAAATTCAAAGGTAAGTATTTTGTTATATAGGAAAAAAACTAAAATGAACACAAAATTTTGCACTTTAAAAACATGAGTAAGAATGTTATAAAATCCTTCTATCCTCAACTTGCCATGAACACAAAATTTGCCAATTTAAAAACATGAGTAAAAATGTTAGAGCCATTGGTGAATTGATAATCACATTTTTAATACAATTTTATACCCTCATTATCTATTTTATATGAATAAATATAACACTAATAACTGTTTTTATTTTTTAATTGCAGGTTAATGAAGAATAAATCTCAAACTCTCATCTCTCAACAAAAACCCCTTGAGTAAATGAAGAAATAAGAGAAATTCAAGAAGCCAAAATGAAATATTTAAAAAGCCCAAAGCCCATAAAAAAATGATTACACCAAAGAGTTGGAATGGACTTGGATGCAAAGAGTTGGAATGAATTGGACTTGGATGCAAAGCAAACAAGACAAGATTACATGATTGGATGCAAACAAGATTGGGTTTTTATGCAAAGTTGGAATGATTGGTTTTTTTTTTTTTTTGCAAAGATTACATGATGACCGGATTTGTTTTGAGAGTGAAAATCAAATGGATCAAGACTTAGACTTGATGGACCGAATTCATTGTGGGCTGCAGAATTGATTTGTGAGAATTAATGTGTGCATGGGCCGGATTTGGAGTTATATGATAAATCACATCTTTGGGCCGAAATTCAAAAGCATTGGACAGCTGCTGAGGACTTGCTAATTTAGAGTTAAAAATCAATTTGGACTTGGCTAATGGAGAATGGACATGGGCTGCTGCAAAGTTGAGATTTAATTTCGAAAATCAACTCCAAAACCGGACATGGGCTTTTTGCTGCAGAAAATCAAAATGGATCAAATTCAAATCAAGACCGGACAACTCTTTGCTGCAGAATTCAAATCAAAACAAAAATCAAATGGACCGAATTCAAATCAAAACCGAACTTTCAAAATTGCTGCAGTGCTCATCAGATTTGCATAGGAGACCGGAGTTCATTGGGCCGGATTTGATTTTTAAAAGCAAAGGGATTTATGCATTGGGCCAAAATGATTTAGTTTTGAAAATAAAAATCAAATGGAATCAAAGTGGGCCGGCTATGCTACATTTTGGACCGGACTTTAAATGGGCTCAAGAATTGGATTTTCTTTTGAAAATC